AATCCCATTTGTGGAGGTTTAATGAACACTAAGTTTCAACTAAAAATTTAGAAATTGGCTGCCAAAAAAGGGAGTCCACGCACGTAACTAAAGAGAAGTTTAATATAACTTCTCTTGTATAATTTATATATTTTTTTCATGGCCAAAAATCTAAACGTTGAAAAGTCTCAAAAATATTTCATTATATAAACAAGCTAACAAATCAAGCCTTTGTCATCAACATGGCTTCTCAATTATCTTCTTCCCCATTCTTCCCAACTCTCTTCCCTCAAAAACCATCTCAACGTTGCATGCCAATTAAAAAGGGAACAAACCCTAAATTCTTTCCTAAATTAGGTGTTTATGTATCATGCAACATCACAAATAGCCAAGAAGATGATAATCTCAAAGATCCTAAAACCAAAAAGAGAGAATTACAAAATTCTACAAATAGATTAACGTTTGATAGAAGAGATGTTCTTATTAGCTTAGGAGGCCTCTATGGAGCAGCTACTCTCAACAGTAAAGACCCTTTTGCATTGGCTGCTCCGATTCAACCACCCGATCTTTCCAAGCCACCCCTAAATGCACCTGATGAAGTACCATTTAATTGTCGCCCACCACCCTCTAGAAAGATCATAGATTTTAAGCCACCGTCCCCATATGCACGGCTCCGAGTTAGGCCAGCGGCACATTTGGTTGACAAAGAATATATAGCTAAGTATGAAAAAGCCATTAAGCTAATGAAAGCACTTCCTGCTGATGATCCTCGTAACTTCATGCAACAAGCCAATGTTCATTGTGCTTATTGTGATGGAGCTTATGAACAAGTAGGGTTTCCAGGTGTAGAGCTTCAAGTTCACTTTTCATGGCTTTTCTTTCCGTTCCATAGATACTATCTTTACTTCTACGAAAAAATTTTGGGAAAATTGATTGGTGACCCAACTTTTGCTTTACCATTTTGGAACTGGGACACGCCTCTTGGAATGACAATGCCTGCCATTTTTACAAATCCGAAGTTTCCACTCTATGATCCATTAAGAGATGCTAAGCACCAGCCACCGATGCTGGCTGATCTTGATTATAGCGGGGCTGATCCAACGATGTCAGGAGACGAGCTGATTAAAGACAATCTAGTGATCATGTATAGGCAAATGGTATCTGGTGCAAAACTTCCTAGGCTTTTTTTTGGGAAGCCGATCAGAGCTGGTGATGAACCGAATGAAGGAAAAGAAGGGGGTACAATTGAGAGGTCACCTCATAATAATTTACATAATTGGACAGGAGATAGGAACCAGCCAAATGGGGAGAACATGGGAACTTTCTACTCTGCCGGGAGGGACCCAATTTTCTTTGCTCATCACTCTAATGTTGATCGAATGTGGGCGATTTGGAAGAATCTTGGAGGCAAACGCAAGGACCTCATCGACCCAGATTACCTTAATTCTGCATTTGTTTTCTATGATGAAAATTCAAATCTTGTCCGAGTTAAAGTAAAAGATTGTTTAGAGACTAAAAATCTAGGTTATGTATACCAAGATGTTGATCTTCCATGGCTAAAAGTTAAGCCAGAAACGAGAAGAAGAACATTGTTGAAGAGAAGTGAGAGAAAGAAAGAAACCCAAAAGGGAGTTTTTCCTCTGAGTTTAGAAAAAGAAATAGTGACAGTTAAGGTTTCAAGGCCGAAGAAATTAAGGAGTAAAGAGGAGAAAGAAGAGGAAGAAGAAGTAATAGTGATCGAAAACATTGAATTCAACATGAATGAGTTTGTAAAATTTGATGTGCTTGTGAATGATGATGAAGATGAGTTAAAGTGCAGACCTGGAAACACAGAGTTTGCAGGGAGTTTTGTACATGTGCCGCATATCCATAGAGGTGGAAGAATGAGGTCTAGCGCTTCTTTAACATTAGCGTTAACAGATTTGCTTGAAGAATTAGGAGCAGAAGATGATGATAACCTGGTGGTGAGTTTGGTGCCAAGATCTGGGAATGAGATCCGTATTGGTGGAATAAAGATAGAATTTTTAAGAGAATGATGAGAATAATATTGATCAGCTCATGAATTTTATAGGAAAATCCTTTTGATTTTTACTTTTCCTTCTGAAATTATTATAATTTTTTATAACTTACATATAATAATCTTGTCATTGGATCTTTACCTAGAAAAGGAAAAAAAAGTGTTTATCCAGAAAAATGAAAAAGTAAAGAAAATATAACTTTGATAGGCAATACCCAAAATTTTTTTTATACTTTTCTTTAAATTCTAACCTTCAATTTTTCCATAATTACTTTAATTTTTTTCTCGAGTCTAAATATTTTAATTTAAAATTATACTGAACTATTTCTTTAAATAACTTGCACGACCAAAATTATCCAAACAATTATGGAAAATTACGGCAAAGGAGCAAATCTTGAAATGTCAATTACTTAATTGTAGGCCACTCAAAAGTATATATAATCTCATGTGATTAAGAAGTTATCTTCAACCACATAATGAATCATCATTGATGAAAAGTATTTAACTAACATGATGACTTTGTAATTTGTATACATTAGGTTAGGTATGTATTTGATAAACATAAAATGATAAGTTTATTATATATAATCCAAAACCCTTGCTGGGCCAACCCCAAACCTATCTCGTACTTGGATCATCTCATACAGAAAGTGACCCAATACGGATATATAAAATCTAATAGGCTAATGTAGCATTCCATGTCCACACGTTAAACATATATATATATATATATACATACATGTATATGTATATACATGTATATAGATAATATGACTGGGGCATCATTTATCAAGGATTATCTGGTCTACTTAATAAAATATGATTAACTACATGCAATGACGAAATTTAATGATTAAATAATTTCCTTAATTAGTTGACTTTCCTTAAAAACAACTCAAGTTGTCCATACATGGCTACATATAACATATTGGATGTCCAAGCAATGAGTTTTTTCCTTTTCTTGACCAAACTAAAATATTAATAACTTAAGATATAGATCAGGACTTATTTTGCAAAGATTTTATGTCAACGACTTAGTTTCAGTGTTATATATATATACATATATACTTCCAATAACGTATTAGCATGATATATATATATATATGTATGTGAATATATATATATATATAGATATAAAAAAGGAAGAACATCTGAACACTTAAGTTTGTTTGGATATGGAAGACGAGGGTGAAATAATCATGGGAATAAAAGAAGATCCTGCTATTGCATCTGAAGATATTTCAAGGGTTGAAATGGATATTGAATGCTTTGAAAATGCCGAAAAGTGTAAGAAGAGAAAGATAGGTATGTTTAGCCATTGTTTAAGCTTTAAACATATGTCTTAATTTGTTTATATATATGTTTACGTAACTAGCTATAGAGATACATATGCGCTAGTACAAAGATTGGTGTTAATTAGTTTTTTGAAAATAAACAAAATTCATGCACGCGCAGGAGCCATAATCAATATGCAAGACGATAGCGATGGCAAAAGGAAGATGATAATTGAAAAAGCTGCAGAGACTGATGTTAAAATGATTGAAGATCATGATGAAGATGATCAGGTGAAACAATATGGCGTCGTTGAAGACGGTGATGAAGATGGAATGACCATGGGAGAAAATTATGAGGATGATAACCATTCTTTTGACTTTTGTGGGTATTTTTGAAAACTTCTGTAATATAAATTAGTTTAAGTAATTATGGATTCACTTGAGATATCTATCTATATATTTGTAACACCCAAATATTTCTTTTTAATTTTTATTATTATTATTTTATTTTATCTTATTTTAATTTAATTTATTCTATATAAATATAATTTAGTATTAATAAAATTTAATTTAATTTATTTTATTTTAATAGAAATAATAATAATAAAAAGGGGTAAAAATTATTTAGGGATTTAATTGAAAACAATTTTGGAGAAAACGGATGAAAATTTGGGTTCTTATGATATTTTTGAAAGAAAAATCGGAAACCGGGGGTCAAAATACAATTTTAAAAAAGTTGTGCCACGTCAGCTGTCCGGTCAGCAGCCCCGGCCAACCAGGACGCGCCAGGTTGGAGAGACGCTGACGCGGGAGACCACACGGGAGGGAGCCACGTGGGCGATCCGTGTGTATGCGATCGAACGGCTTAGATCCGTTTCCGCGCGCATGGACGGCCTAGATAAAAAACGTGCACGGACGCCGCAGATTGCATCGCTTACGAACGGTTCAGATTGAATCACAAACAGATAGCCCAGATTGAATCGCGATGAACGGTCCAGATTCATTCCCTATTTAATCGCGATCGGACGGTTCAGATTAAAAGTAATGGACGGCTCATATCAAAAGCGGATGGAAAAAATAACCTTATCTGCACCCAAATCCTAACCCTAGCCGCCAGAGCCTCTCGCCCGAGAAGACAGCCCAGTCGCCGAGGAGCCGACAGTTGCCACCCGCCGCCGTACCGGAGCAATTTTCGACCGCCAAATAAGGTAAAAATTCTACCCTTTACTCAAATTTTGATTCTAAACCCACCTATGGCCAAATCGGAGCGAAAGCACCGGCCAATTGGCCGAAAAATGCTGCCGAAGCTCAGCAGCGACGCCGCGGGATGTCTCAGTTTTTGTCTCCGATGAGGCCCTTCCCGATTCCCGTTCGATGTGATTTTTTCACCGTTGTGATCACCGTTTCCTCCTCTATAGGTTGACCGGAGCAAAACACCCAACCGCGACGTGAGCCAGAGGAGCTGCCGCACCGGAGAGCCCCTCCGCCGGTAAGTTTCAGTTTTTTGTATTTTTTCGCCCCATCGATGGCCCTAAGTGTGTTTTCTCACATGAACCGATGCAAGTTTGGCTGAATTCGGCCAAAAACAGCCAACCTGAGGCAAATCACCGTCACGAACGGCGGCGCTGTCGCCGGAGCGCGGTGGAGCCGTCGTGCCGGAATTTCAAAATTGGCCGAGTAGGCCCTGGGTCTAATTTTTGGATTATTTAGGACATGTGTAGGTACCGTAAGCACGTTTCAGTTCTTGAAGAAAAAATTTAGGGAACCTAGGGACCACCCGTAGGCGTAGTAAAAATCTAGTTTTCGGCGTTAAATCAAGTAAGGACCCCTTACCCTATTTCCTATCATGGAATTGAAGTCCGAATAAATGATAATACTGTATTTTGTACAAATTAAATAGATATGCATAATTAATTACGGTTGCTAATGGAGCCCGAACCGAACATATTTCTCTGTCAATTCTTGTTTGATTTATTTTATAGTTCAAATGTATTATAGTATCTGGTTTATTTATTTTATGGTTTTGAATGCATGAATCACTGCTTACTTCACTACTGTTTGATTTTGGGAATCTAAGATATGCATGCCTTGTTGGATGCACATTACTTGTTTATATATTTATGTTTGAGTTAGTAATGGAGACTAAGGAAAAATAGGAAAGGGGTGTGATTTGATAAATGGATAAGATGACAACCTCACTAGATATCCTAAGAGATGGTGGACGGACTGGGTTCATAGGAAACCCTACCGTGAACGTTGTCTCATACCGGACAGGGTATAGAGACTTTATTGTTTTGGCGTTCATACCAGACGGGGTATGGGGACGACCTTGGAATTAAGTTTGTTAAGGAGAATGGTTCACGTGTAGTGGAGACCCCTATGGATCCCCATAAATATTAGTAGGCTGATAAAAAGGGGCAATTGTTGTTTGATGATTTGAATATAAAAGTATGATATGTGTTATATTATAGATTATATATGAATTCATGATATTTATAATGTTATCGTTTCCATATGTTTTTTTTATAAATCTCACTGCGGTAAGAAGATCGTAGATGGTTTGATTATTGATAAATGAATTTGTTTAAATCTACTACTTCATTGGTTGTTTTAATTTTCTACCAACCTTTACTTCTGTGACGGTGATTAGTGTGATATCCTTACTGGACTAGTGTACCTCATTCCTTATTTAACCATTTCAGATCAGAATGACCTAGTTCCCGAGTCCGATCCACAAGAAAACGGTGAGTAGATGTTAGATACCTTATATTTTCTTTTATTTTTCTTATTTCTCGTATTTCTTTTAGAGAACTTATTCCGTGATATTGTTTACTACTTTTAAGTTATTGTGTAAGGAATATTAATCTTAATATTTTATTTTACTTCCGCACTTATATTATAATATGTATTTCATTTTGAATTTTCAGGATCATTACAATATATATATATATATATATATATATATATTTGTTTTGTTTTATTCTTATTTTATCGGTGTAATTTATTTTTATAATTGACATAATACATATTAGAATTTAGCAATTTAAGCAAGTTTTTGTCTTTTAGATTACTCTTCTCTTACTTATAATATTTTTATTATAAAATTAATAGTTCGAGTTTAAATTTATATTGCACAATTTTTTAAAAAAAAAAATCATGCTTTTTATTAATAAACATGACATATAAGTCCAATACAATTCTATTTCCTAACCTTATGTGTAATCTTAATATGCTAAAAATATTTTGTTTTTGATATAAAATATTTTGTAGTGCATAAATACAAAAGATAAACGAAAATTATTTTTGTAGAGATATGATTGAATTCATCGTATACGAGTTCGAGACGTATGAAAATATAAATAGAGATAACAAATAAAACCCTCAAGAATAACGAATGCAAAGATCAGCATAAGTTTGTCTCGGTAAGATCATGCCATCGTCAAGAATATATTAGCCTCCAAGATCATGATTCTCATTTAAAAGCAAGTTCTGTGATCAATTCTAAACATGACTGGCAAAATTTGCCAAATTTACATTTAGTAATAGTTTGAATAAGTAGAATACAAAATATATTTTTACAAATATGTGTTTTTGTAGTGCAGAAAAGAGTTTAAAAAAAAAAAGCTCTCAATCCTTAATAATTCTCAGGAACAGTTCGTTCTCACTGGAATCTCTCTTGAAATATTTCTAATAATTATAGTTCCTATATATATATATATATATATATATAGTAGTTCATCAAAATCACAACCTCAAAAGCAATTGTTGGTTCATCAATGGTTAAATAATTCGTAAGTAAATATATAGATAAACTGATTAATTATTGGTGCTGAACGGATTCATTCTGAATTTCATGAGCCAATTCTTTTGTTAGATGATCAGCACGCTCATCGTGTCCACCTGCGAAATTATACACCTTGAATGCGAATTGGAAAGCTCTCCACATCATTTTCGCACAAGCCTTCTTTCGCTTGTTGTTCTTGGTTTGATGGTCAGTGGCCTCTGATTGCATTGCACCCTCTCGCCTTTCCTGGTTTCAATTTCAATATATTTCGATTATAAAAAAAGACGTGAGAGGAAATTGCAGTATATTTTCTTTTCCTTCATTCGAGACCAATTATTTATACAAGAGAAAGAATTTTTTTTTTTATTTTTAGTGTTCATTATCTGTACCATTACATCTTAAAAAATTCAAAAATAATCATTATTTTCTTTTTTTTTTTTTAAAAATATCTTATATGAAACTAATTTTTTTTTTAAAAAAATCTAATTTTAAAAAGTTTATGTGCTGAAATTAAAATGTCAACTATTTAACATGATCAAATTAAATATATATATGTATGTGATACTTCAGTTCTATACAAAAAGTATATATGATTATCATTGAGCATCATATAAAGACTCAAACACATACTACTAATTACTTAACTTTGAAATTTTAAGATCCGATGGTTTGAATTCAAAAATGTTAATAGAATATTCGTTCATATGGTACAAACTATTTGTCAAACTTTATGATTCTAGTTGGTTCAATCTTGAATCTTATAAGTTTTTAAATTGCGATTTGTGATTATGATATGTTTAGTGATAGAGATTATGATACCCTAGTTTCACATCCGAAAGATAAGTTTGTACCTTAAAAATTATTTAGATTAATGATTCTTGGGTGGAGGGGCATAACAATGTAATTTTGTTATTGCAATGAATTGTTGATTGAAAAATATACCTTAAGTGCCAGCTCCATGCAATTTGAGGAAACATCCACCATTGATTCCTTGATTTGAACAATGATATGAAAGTCAAAATGGATATTGTGGCTCTGGAATTTCTTTGATTCTTCATCTTTGATTCTTTCCAATGCATCTATGTCACCTTTGACCTGTTTTTTTCATTTCGGAAAACTATTAGAAATTGTCTTATGTGACAACGAAAAAATTAACCAGCAGGAAAGTAAAATCTATTAGAGAATTTAACTGGCAGTGGAAGGAATAATTCAGATTCACTAGTTCTGATACACGGACCTCTAGTACCAAGTTTCATCGATAGACATTAAATAATAATATGCATCCTGGAAAAATCAATAGCAGAAACAATGATGAGAGAATTCACCTTGCTGAAATATCGTTCAACCTTGTCAAGGATCTTGCACAATGGAGGTTCTATCTTCAAATTTTGCAGTTCATGGACAACCGTATCTAATTTTGAGAACAGTGCAGCTGCCATTCGCAGTGCTTCCAACTTCTTATGAGGAAATCCTTCAAATCTTGCGAGAACCTGAGCTTAAACAGAGTTTCAGGACATGATCATGATATGGAACATAGATTACGATTCCGATGTTAGTAAAATTACAAAGATAGAAATGAGATATGAAAAGCTAAGTTAATTGATAAGGCCAAATGTTTGCACTGTAAAAAAAACCTGTAACCGTTCACACCCGATAATACAAGTTAGAAGAACACAAGCCAAACGAGGGTAATAGGTATATGTGTATATATATTTATATATTGACCTGTGTTTCATCTGTTAATTTCTCAAGCACAGATTCTACTTTACTGTGGAAGTCGAGAAGCTTGGTCATGTCCTTAGTTTCGAAGGTAGTAATCAAAATTTTGAGGTCCTTGATTGCATTGGCATACTTCTGAACATCTTCTTCAATTTGCTGGAAATACGCTGACCTAGAATTGAGAGAAAATCAACTTATTAATCTTGTCATATTGGATAAAAATAATTTGTTAAAAGCTTTTAGAATTTTTTGCTATATAAATATATATACCTTCTTGTCATCTCTGCTAGTGCATCAGCCATTCCTTGCTGTCCATTAATTGCAACCTTCCCACCACATTTTTTTCCATTACCTGATTTTTTTTCTACATTACAACCTTCAACCTTTTTCTTCAGAACCCTATAGAGATTACCCATGTGGCTTGATCGCCTCAACTTAGTTTGTGCTTTCTTGGGTCGCAAGACTCTAGCAGCACCGGGCGGAGGGGGAGGTGCAGGTCCACTTATAAACTGCATTGGTGGTGCTGGTGGTGGCAATGCAGCTTTTGACGACATCATTGGTGGTGGAGGTGGTGGTATTACTGATATAACTCCTGCTCTATTGGGCGGTGGTGGTGGAGGTGGCATTGGTCGTCCTATTGCATCAGGTTCTGCAACAGGACTCGAAACTAGGCATGGAAAAGGGGGTGGAGGTGGTTTCATCAATCCACTTTCATATGTTAATTGAGATTTTTGTGTTAGTGGCAGTGGAGGGGATGGCGAAGTTGGTGCCAAGTAATTTTGCGAGATTGGGAGTAGTGGTGGTGTTGGTAATGGTAAAGGATGTGGTATAAAGGTGATGTATCAACCTTGTTTGTGAGACTCTTGATGGGAGTGTAGATGGTGACGTTTCGGGTTAAAGACCACTATATATTTTG